AAAAAAACCTAAACTGAACCAAGTAAACCACCTGTGGAGACCGAAACCCTTCCAATGCAGCCTTTATTTGAAAATACTAACCAGCGAGACAAGGGTCAGAGTCACCGGTAGGGCTGTCGGACCGCTGTGACCCTGTGAAAGGAAGAAGAAGTATTCAGGTACAGTGTGTGTGCCTGCAGCAGCATGTGTAACACATGTAAGATGACATATTTTGATGTTTGTAGCTTTTTAAAAATGTATTTAATTCTGAATATAGCACTGATGCAGATGAACACTTACCAGTGGGGCTGGGATTGAGAGGTGACCCGCTGCCTACACACACACAGGAATATTAAAGCACATGTGTTACAGATGAAACTTTTACACACTATGCTGTTACTAATGCAACAGTGTGCCCTTGTTTTCAGTCCATTACTTATGTTGCTTGTGTTTTATTTGTAACGGACTGCAGGTATAAACTGGCTTTAAGCCAATATTAATTTGGCAACATTTGGCAAGATAAATATGAGCAAATAATCACTTCTTATTTTAGTCATAAAATTATTCTTAACATTTAAGAAGATCCAGAGCAGAAGCTGAGAGCAACATCATAGATCGAAACTTCAAACAAAGGCCAAATACTTTTATATTGCTTAATAATTAGTATGAAACTCATTGTGCAAATATCAGTCTGCACAAAACCACTTTGAAGGATTCACTTTCAGTATTTTTTATTATAAGACAGTGGTGAGTACTGATACAGAGCACAGTTTGAGATTTGAATGAAAAAGCATGCGAGTGTGAATAGACCCAGTTTACACAGTGCTCCATGTCTGATTATTTTATTACTCTGTATTAATAAGACAACAACCACGACACAGAGTTTGTGCTCCTGAAAAATGGGTGATAGATGTGTTAGCATGAATAAAGAACATGTTGTCTTTCATGGGCTCAAGAGCTACTAAGTATCCGCCAATTTACAGTAATGTGAGCTCTCTGTACATTTATATATTTATGCACTTATTTCAGAAGAGACTGCCTCGTTAATGGTGCCTGCATTAGGTTGAACTGACATAATACTAGTTACAATTTCAAATGGAGTTCCTGTAGCACTCATTCAAAGCTTGGTTTTCTTACCCACATCAAACTTTGCAGAAAAGAAAAAACCTTACCGCCACTTTTGTTGCCATCACCTCCTGCAAGTACAGAAAGTATAATAGATCATGAATCACATCAATCAGAACTTTAACCAAGCTCACATTATACCTCATAATGACTGAAAGGGGTCCAGTTCGATGTGACCCTTTAACGGGCAAACGTACTTGAGAAGCTGCTGTAAATGTTAACTGAATGACAATAAATGCTGTTAACTAAAATGATCGATTTCTAACATTACTTATCAATTATTTTGATTGACAATATTTGAACAGCTGATTAATAAGTAGAGTACTTTACTGCTTATTATCACTTTCGTTTATTCTGAGGATTTTTAAAAAAAACAAAAAACATATTTGCCTGTGTTCATGCTTACATGATATAAAACTATTTGGTGCAATAAAAAATAAAAAAACTATTTAACTCAACCACTGTTGCAAACAGTTATCATACAAAATGGTTCACTGCACCTACCAATAATGCCCCGTTTCTTTAAGATCAGAACCAGAGACACTCCAACAATAACCAGGACCAAGACTACAGCTACAACACCAATGATAACACCCATGTTTCCCTCAGTCTGAGTCTCAGGATCTTTAAACATGCTGTGGTCTGAAACACAGAAAACACTCACATTAGGACTTGATGTTCAATTGACATTAAAATGACTGAAATGTAGTTTTAAAGTTACAGTTAAAATAAAAAGAACATGCACTGGTTATTTGTGCAAGTGAGAAATGTGACAAATAACACTAGTTATTATTAAAACTAGTGTTTTCAGTCGTTTTCACAGAGTTGTGCGTCCACATTGAAACGGCTGAAACTGCTTATGTCCCAGATCTGAGCATGCGCAAAAGCCAGTGAGAATTAAAGAATTTGAAGAAAAGCTATCTGGAGCATGAACAAACTGATATTCATCTTTTTCAGGGCTGTCAAAATTGAGAGCAAACAAAATGACTGCTGTACAATGCGCTCCACTATTTTTGTTTAATTGGTCACATGACTAACATGCGTCATCGTTTTAGAAGGTCTGCGTTTTCGAGCGTCCACACTGTGACGGGGCAGCTCCGTTTTGAAATGTATGCGTTTTGGAGTGCGTTTTCAAAACGCAGCGCTTTTCCTTGGGGAAAACACCATGTCAGTGTGGACGGGGGGCCAAAACGGAGAGAAAAACATGCATTAGTCTGGACATAGCCTAAATAAATAAGATTAGCAAATGATGGAAACAATTTTTTAAAAGTTTCTTACCCCAGAAACTGATAACATTCACACTGGATGCCTTATGAACGACTTCACAGCTGAACTTTGACAGGTCAGACTTCAGAATCTCCACATGGTCTCGTCTCTGGAAGGTCTCATCGTTATTCGGAACAACACCTGAGCTCTTCAGTCCGTCGTCTGCAGTCAGAACACGTCCGTTCCTCTTGATCTGCAATTCGATGTCTTTGGGGTAGAAGCCTGTGGCGAGGCAGGTCAGGATGAGGTTGGTCCCCCCTTTGACCTTCTTTCCAAACACGTACACGTCAGGTTTCACTGGAAGGAGGACATGTGAAGTGATGTCACCACATAGGTTATCACCTGAATTTGGTTCTTTCTGACAGATCAAAACGGCGTATGAATAGTACTGGCTATAGCTACTTAACAAAACTGCTTTCAGTACACTGTTGAGACTCTCTAAAAGCCACATTTATACTCTCCACACCTTTAAACAATATTGTAAACATCTCTACAACCACGCATGGGAATCACTTCCTTTTTCACAGCATTTTAACAGAAGAAAAAGCTCCGTTTATTCTCTTCTGCTTATTATTATCATTGTCACACGCTGGAGGCTGAAGCCCAGCTACTACTGCGGAAGAGACGGGCTATACCCTGGAGAGGTCGCCAGCCTGATGCAGAGCTAACACATATTCAAGCTCATTTAAAAATGTCTGATATATATTTACTATTTGGTTAATGTTCAACTTGTCAACAATCATGAACTGCTGTTTCTGATTTTTCAAATAAAGAGACGGAGAAGTTGTAGGACACTTGAGCTCTGTTCACACATGAGCCAACCCTTTACTTTTCTAGAGATTTCTCAGCTGAGGTTCCTGTGAGAACCTTCAAACTTGATTTAGCGTGTCTGAGTGTCCTGCTGCACTGAGACATGAACAAAAAACCAACACATCTATCACGTGATTGTCCTGCCTTCTGCGCTCAGGCAGCTCCATCACCAAAACTTAACACTGTAGCACTTTCTAATAGTGGCAATGTAGATGACACAAAAATGAAAACTTCAATATTCCAACTGATTCTGTAAAAATTTATAAAAATAAAACCTTTTGAGTTCATGCCAAAATTACAATTTTTAACTTAGGAAAGGTGATTTTGAGAAATATTATTAAGATTTGATATTTTTGAACTTCTACCATAATCACATTTTTTATGTAAATGTTGAAACGTGTGGACCTAAAACGGCTTCCTGACAAATGCTGTGAAAAAGTAAAAGGTCACAGACTGAAATCCACGTTACAGTATGTAAGAAACTTTCTACCTTAATCTGTCTGAACAACAACAACTATCACTAAAACTAAATTTTTAAACTATCAGTTACTAATACAAATATTGATCATTGTTTTGAATATTACATGTCAAATTATTTCATGTCATACATACAGGCGTTTCGTAGCTGCTGTTGTTCATAATTCACAAACTTGCTCAGCCAATCGATGCACTCGTTCTCCAGGTAGCCCTTGGTGTACTCTTTCAGCACCGGGACGCCGTCCCACTTCCTCTTGGTTAGTTGTGCCTCGGGAGTCGGAGCGACCCAGACTCCGCTTCTATCATCGAAGGACAGGAAGTCGTCTCCATCGTAGTTGTACATGTCCATGCCTCGGACAAACCTGAGCGTGCCGTCAGGCTGCGTCTGACCCTCACAGCCGTGCATCCACTGAAGAACGTGAGGGGCTGAAGGACCAACAGTGACAGAAATGAACAAGATATCAGAAGAACAGAGATTCAGAGAGGACACCATGATGTGTGCGTCAGGATTAAAACGGAGCGACAACTTACTGGTTGAGTTATTCTGTCTCATTCGCTTCATCAGGATGCCGATGTTGACCTTGAACCACTGCTGCTTGCTCTTGCGGGACTGTGTGCCTTTATCCCAGTAATCAGCAGGTAAACGCTCTCTCATCCACTCCTGTTTGGGAACCTTTGTCTGATGCTCGCTGTCAAAGTAGTCGATCATCCGGTTGTCCAGCAAACCCATGGCTGTGAACTCGTGGATGCCCGGGAGGCCGACAGGTTTGGAGAGCGCCGTGTAGATGTAGTTGAGGGAGTGAGTGTCTGAAAGTCACACAGGAGGGAAAACACACAATATTAATTTATTTATCACAGCTGAGAAGCAGCAGATCTGACTTGTGCACTGAAGTTATTTTTTAATAAAGTTAAAGTAAAAACAGCTGCTTAGTGAAGTGAGAGTTGAAACTGAAGCCGTTTTCAGTTTCTGTCCTCAGCTGTGTGTAGACGTCACTGCACTGAAACACTTCCTGCTCTTGCGCGGCCTTCGGTTAGCTCACATTCACAACCACTGAAGCTTTTTACGAGTTTATCTAGCAGCATGTTTTCGTTTTTAACATAAAGCTCTATAAATATTCTCTGAAGTGAAATTTTCTATATGAAAACACTGTTCATTCAGTTGTTAAAGAAAATAGAGACAGCTCTGACAACAACGATGATTCCACGCAGAACAAGCGCTAGAGTCCAGTCTGGATGTTTAAGTTAACCGGTGACAGTCACAGAACATTATGTCAGGTTACAGTAATGAACTAAACCTGAAGAAAACTGACAGAAAATCTTACAAAACTATTGAAAATATTTAAAAAGTGCAAAAATGTTATTTTTAGTCTCTTTCTGTTTGGTTACATCTAGTCAACCTGCAGAGCCAACTAAATTGAATTTAAAAGTAAACAAATAAGAAGAAATAAAACTAGAATAACAGCGAGGCAGACTTATGAAACTGAGAGAAACTCAGTAACTTTGTCATCTTTGCTTACTAAATGTAAAATAAATAAATAAAAGCAATAAAATGTTCATGACTTGCTGTTAGAATAATTAAATAGCTTTCCTGAGCATTAGCTGTTTTTTCCAGGTAAAGAGATTATTGTAACGTTCCTGTTTCTGTGTAAACGTCAGAAGCTTCACCTCAGACCTGAAACAACATCAGCACAGCAGTAATTCGTTTCATTTAAAAGTTATTCCTTTGATTTCAGCTTTGATCAGCAGCTCTGACCTCAAACCCACAGAGACACGAGTGACGTGTTTCTGTCAGCGTGGGGAAAAACCCTGCAGTGTCTCAGGTGCGTTCACTGAATGTGGGAAAAATGTTCTTAATTCAACAAAAGATTTTCAAATCTCGCACGTGTCTCAGGCAAGCAGGAAAACAAGTTGTTTACAGTAAACTCTGAGATGCTTCTGACTGGTCGTCACGTCACAGATATGATAACGATGCGATCAGTCCGGCTCAGCAGCATCAGCTCACAGCGACACACCTGTTCTTACCTGTTTACTGAGAACTGATGAGTGTCAGGACAAGTTTTACAACCGCTAACACAAGTCCACACACACACACACACACACACACACACACACAGTTTACAGCCGGGATCTTCAGTCAGCTTTGAAGTTTTCAGGTTTTGAACTCAACAGTTCATATGAAACGGTCTGATCTTAAAACACAGCCAAGAATTTAAATGAAAAACTTAAATCCATAAAATGTTCAGTATTTGTGTCTGTAAGTGTTTCTCTGTGGGCCTCAGCAGACCCGCGGCAGCAGCTGAACTTGAGAAACTCCTGGGAGGATTAAAGCGCTTTCTTATTTCCCACTTTCACACACCTGGTGTACAGAGTCACGCCACGGCACAAAAACACCCCCCAAAAACTTTTTTTGCAGATTAATTAAACTAAAATCGTCGTCTGAACTTTTGTTTTTCTGCGACGTCACAGTCCGTTTTTACTTTCGGTTTGGACCCGCTCCGCTAGCGTCGGTAAAAAGCGCAAACTCACCGCAGTTTACGGCCAGCGCCGTCCCCAGAAGGACCAACACCGCGAACAGGTTCATCGTGACTCCGAATCAGAGCCTCTGCTCGGTAAAAATCTCAGATTTATCCGCTTGTCGGTCGGAGACGTCCTCCCCGCGTTCTTCCTGAAGTGATCGTCTCTATTTCCTGACTCTGTCTGCTCACTGCTGCATTCACGGCCGCTCGTAAACCACAGACGCCTTCAAGTCACGCCCACCTGCTGGCCTCAATAGCGTTTACGTAACTGACAAAGGTGAGAGAGCAGGTAGAACCAACGGAGCTCAAACTGTCCCACAAACTGCATTTATTTATTTTATCACAGAGACAGAAGCTTCCGGTTTGAGTGGTTGAAAAGACCCCAAATGTCCCCGACTGGAAGGATTTCACAAACTTAAGAAGCCGAGCTGAGTTTTTTTAAAGCCATGCAGACCACCAGGACCTGAAGGACCGATAACACGGACACCTTCACCTCAGCGCTCACTGATCAGTCTGAAAAACTCAGCTCAGAGAAACAGGATTCACTTTTTACTCAAAGTCTACCCTGGAAATAAACAATTATTATTATTATTATTATTGTAATAATAATCTGTGCGTTTTTTCACGTGTTTGTGGTTCTTTAGAATACTTTAAACCTTTTAAACTAAAATAACCACTTTTCAGATTGGACCCTGTGCGGATTAAAGACTTAACCAGCCGTGCCTGATGAAAGTATTTACACGTTTAAGCTTAGATCAGTGAATGTGTCGCAGGGCTTCCTGGTTCCTGCTCCGTGTTTTATTTCCTCGTTGCAGCAGTTTGCGTCAGCTGATCGAGCTGTTCTCTCGAAAACATTTCATCTGCGCACATTAAACATGTGTCGGGCTCACGGAGGGTTCGTGGGGACTTGTTAAACTGTAAGAAATGTTGAAGTAACACAAACAAACTCATCCAAGCAAACGGACACTTCTGATGGGCGGGGTTTGTGACTACATAAAAAATAAATCAGTAGCTATAATCTAATAACATTTAATAATAATTGCTTTTAGTGACTCATAATTCTGAAACAAATGCGCATTTTATTTTTTTTATATTAGAATCATAGGACAGACAGTGTGCACTGATGTAACACAAGAATAAGCAAATGAAATGATGTTCACCCACAACAGCTGGACTCATGTTCACAGCGAGGAAGAACTGAAAGACTTTGAGACAACTTAACTTTTTTTGTTTCCTTAAATATGTTGGAAAATAGAAAAATCTGTGTAAAAAGATCCAGGTCTTTGTGAAATTCATGATTTTGATGCGACAAAAATCTTCAGAAAAACAGAAACCTGCTCAGAACGAGCCCACGGTCCTTGCGGGTTGCTATGATTATTATTATTATTATTATTATTATTATTATTATTATTATTATTATTATTATTATTATTATTATTA